ATGGTTATAATTTGTGTTCAGAGTAAGAGGACCATCTTTTCTACACTTCAAATTGCAGACTTTTAAGTATAAATTTGTGCAACAAGTTTATTGAGCCATGTGCCAGACACTCAGCAAGAAATTGGAGTAGGTGCAAAGAGTCAAAAGCCCTTCTCCTAAGAGGTTCTTGTCGTAGTAGGTGAAAGAGTTGAATCACTGCAGTTTGACTCAACAAGTACTTAGCTGACATGGCACCAAAACCCTCCCTGATCTGCTGCCAGGGTTCAAACCAGGTTCTACCTCTTACATAGCAACAGGTATTTCTTCTTGGTGTTCGTCATCTTTGTGATTTTTGTCTCTACCTCTGTATCTGTTTAATGCCTGTCTTTGCCATTAGTCTTCATGTTCCGTAAGGATTAAGGTCAAGAAGACATGATCTTGTAGCATTTAGCAGAGACTGATACATGTACATGTTCAATGGATGAGTCAAACCAGAGGAGAAAATTATAATTCTATGTAGAAGAGCAGGGAGAAGCCTCAGAGGAGATGTGACACTTACATTGAGCCTTGGAGGATAACGAGGAGGCGACCAGTGGAGAAGAAGAGGGACACATCAAGGAATATGGAGTATTGAGAAATAGTGTGGTGGGAGGAGGTAGTTGATGTTTTCTGAAAGGGGAGGATAAGGTTGTGTGTAGAGAATAAGACTGCGTTGAAGCCTGGTCCATAGTTAAAGGGTCATAGTTTAAGGGTCCAGTGCCCTGTTCACAGATTTGGGTTTCTCTTTTGTTGAGAGAAAAAAATAAGGGCCTGAAAAGGTGAAGAGAAGGTTACCAAACAAGAAAAATAGGGGAGGGGAATGTAGGCATTAGGTACTTCCAAAAGAGACCTAAGCAGTTCTACTTTGCTAGAAATTCCTCCATTGTATCAAGCCAAACTGGTCCTCATTCTGCCACTGGGACCAGAGAGACCCAGCCTCTATGGTCTGGGGGTAGTAAATTAAGTTATTTGGCTATGGAGATGAATATCAATTTTTCTGTGTTACTGAGAGGTCTTTTTTAAAAAACTTAAATTCAGAATTCTGGAAGAATAGATATAGATCCCCAAACTGTGGTTTTGTGTTTTATTTCCTTCCACAAATACCCTCTCCATTTCCGCCTTGTAGCTGTCTTTGCCAATTGCCAAAACATCTGTCCCTACATTAAAATGATTATATAACATTATTATCACCATGAACATACAGAGTCAGCCATTAGTTTTAAATACCAAGGAGGTAATATATCTGATATTTTTACAATTCAGTGAACTTTCCAATTTTTAAATATGTGTTTTGGGGATGCTTAGTTTTTCTTTTTTGAATACAGGTGTTCAGAGCTACCCAAACATTTCTATAAAGTACCATTTTTCATAAAAGCAGTGAGGCTTTCATTATTATTATGATTCCTTTGAAAACCAATGATCTGTGCCTAAGACAACCCTTTCCATATTACTTTACCCTGAATGGAATGAGATTGGTTGAGAGTTCTGCCCCCAAGGAAATATCAAAGCCTCCGAAACGTACTCATTTATAGTTTTAAAGTTAACTCTCTTATCAGATTTCCTTTTATTTCCTGCTGGGCCAATGTGAGCAGAGCTCAGATAGAAGCAAAGAATCTGCTATATATCTTTTCAAATTTATGATTAAGAAGGTCACGTATACATTTTTAAACACACTCCTTTTTGATAATAAATGAAGAATAAAATTTCGAAATGTCATCAGCAGCAGAATTGCTCATTTTTCTTTTGTTGGCGTTCCCCCCTGCCCCTGTCTAATTGCCTGACCGATCCAATGCTTCATTTCTTGTTGTACGTCTGCCTGGAATCATTTCACTGGTAGAACAGTGTGCCTGTGGCCAAAGCATTATAACCAGAAGATGCATTCCTCTTCCTGAGTGCCTTTCTTTCCCCAAGCCAACTTGAAAAAAAAAATAATAATAATGAATGAAGAATTCCATTTTAGGCTACATGTTTCTTCAAATGATGGCCCAAACAAGAAGTATAAAGAAACTTTTCTCGGCCGGGCACAGTGGCTCACACCTGTTATCCTAGTACTTAGGGAGGCCAAGGCGGGCAGATTGCCTGAGCTTAGGAGTTCAAGACCACCCTGGGCAACATGGTGAAACCCCGTCTCTACTAAAATACAAAAAATTAGCTGGATGCAGTGGCAGACACCTGTAGTCCCAGCTGCTGAGGCTGAGGCATGAGAATTGCTTGAGCTTGGGAGGCAGAGGCTGCAGTGAGCTGAGATACTGCACTCCAGCGTAGGCGACAGAATAAGACGGTCTCAAAAAACAAAACAAACAAACAAAAAAACCCATAACTTTTCTCTTCTTGGTTGGGATTCCTAGATCCAATTCCCCTATCTATGTTTCTCTACTGTGCTCTCTGCTTCTAGAGTGTATTCTGTATGAAGTCTGTCAAAAAGATCACTTGCCACTTCCGACTTATTGTTGGGTTCAGCTAATGAGAGCTGCCACAGGGGACCAGAGGAAGGGCATAAGGTATAGTCATTATGCCCTATGACTGGTATAGAGAGAACCAGTCAACCTCACTGGTTCTCTCCCTGTGAGATTGTCTATGACTGGCTGGGACTTTCAAGAGAAAGCCGCTGCTTCTGTTCACAGTGCCTCCTCTTCACAGCTCTCTCCTTTGGGGCTCTGGTTACTGCTTCCTCTATGTGTTCCTCTGGTCCCATAGGTAATAAACAGCTCTCTGATTGGCATGCTGTTATATCCTGGGTCCCTATACGCTTGTGACCTTTATCAGCAGACCTTTTATAAATAGACCTTCTTCAAACTGTCCTCATTTGCGTATGCCATCTGTCATTCTCCTGTGAAGTCTACACCTAGATCATGAGATTCATGTTTCAAGGAGGATGCTATCAAACTGGAATTTGTCCCACGTGAATGCCTCTAAAGCACTTCTAAGTTGAGAGCTGGGGTTTTTTTTCTTTTCTGTTTTCTTTTTTTGTTTTTGTTTTTGTTTTGTTTTGTTTTGTTTTGTTTTGTTTTTGTTTTTTGTGTTTTTGTTTTTGTTTTTGTTTTTGTTTTGACGGGGTCTCACTCTGTCACCCAGACTGGAGTGCAGAGGCGTGATCTCGGCTCACTGCAGCCTCCACCTCCTGGGCTCAAGTGATCTTACCACCTCAGCCTGCTGAGTAGCACAGGTACGCACCACCACACCTGGCTAATTTTTGTAATTTTTGTAGAGATGGGGTTTCACTGTGTTTCCCAGGCTGATCTCAATTCCTACGCTCAAGTGATCTGCCCAGCTCAGCCTCCCAAAGTGCTGGGATTACAGGCATGAGCCGTCGTGCCTAGCCTAAGTTGATAGGTTTATCATTTCCTTTTATACTTCCTTTGGCAGCGAGATTATTACCTCTTGAAACTATCTGTTTCATGATCAGTGGGGCTCAACCTTGGAAAATTATTCCCTGTATTGCACTGCATTTGACCTCTCTGGGACATCTCTTCTTTGTGTGTTGAGACAGGAATGGCCAAAATTGAATTTGAAGCCTACTCTTGTGAAGGACAGAACAAGGGACCTGGAGAAATTTATTCTCAACATATCTGATGTTTAACCTATAGCCTTTCATGTGATAGGACTATGACAGCTATATTTAGATGCATATTTGTTGGAAAAACTCAGAGGGACCATGTTGGCTTTTTAGAAATATTTGAATAACTCTTATATGCAAGAGGAGTTAGTCATATTTTTGTATCTCTTATGATATATATCTAAGACCAATCCAGTTAAAATTTAAAGGGCATAAATTTTAAATCCATAGAAAAGAACTTTTTAACCTTTTAGCTCCTCAGTGAGGTCAGAGTCTATGTCATTTGCAAGAATTCAGGGAGAGATGGGATCCCACAGTGAGGCTGCTGGAGAAGGAATTCGAACATTGCAATATAGTTGGATCCACTGGCAATAGTATAAAAAACAACAATAGCAACTTCTAGGCATCAAGTGTTCACTATGTGCAAGGCACTGTGCTCTGTGTATTTTACGCATTGTCTCATTTAATCCTCACAGCCCAATAAGATTGGTCCTGTCATCTGCCACAGTATATAGAGGAATAGTTCAGGATTTAGAGTAAGAAATTTGCCCTGGGTCTTGCAGCTAGTTGGCAGGCAGCAGAGGTAACCTATGAACCTGAGTCTGTCTGACACCAAAGCTGATGGTTTTAACCTCCAATGGTTGGTGTCAGACTCACCTGGGGAACTTGATGGCCATGTAGAATTTTAGGTCCTGTCCTACTTCAGTGATCCGGAGCCTCTGTGTGTGTGTGTGTGTGTGTGTGTGTGTGTGTGTGTGTGTGTCTTCAGGTGATTCAAATTTACACCAAAGTTTGAGAAGCACTGCTCTACGCTATTATTATCAAAATAGTGATATTATGATAATATCCATCTGGTTCTGAGGGTCTTTTATTCCCATGGGAATAAGACTGCATCAGTTCAGCTGTAACTTTCCTTCTTTTGAGCTGTGAAACTAACCTGCACACTCATCCACCTCCAACCACCAGCCCCTGCTTCACTTTACTATTATTTGGTGGGTTTTTGATGAGCTCAGTTCCTGAGAAAGACAAGCCTCCATTTTTAATTTCATTCAGAGCCACAGAAACAGAAAGGCCAGTCTAGCCACTTCCGCCCTCTGAAAGGAGACTTGGGGAAAGGAATACAAGTCTTGTTGATTTCCTCTGAAAGGAGAGTGGGGGAAGCATTGTACGAGTCTCATTGATTTCCCATTTTAGGCTCAAACATAGAACACACGCATTGTCGGGGGTGAGGCAGCAGCGTGAGTCTCCTATTTCTGAGTAAACGGAAACCATTCATGGTTTTTTTCTGCCTTGATTCTTTTTCTGGAGAATGAACCAGATTTGGGGGCTGAGGATGAGGATTGGGGAAGAACAATCTATCTTCCCAATGCTTTAATGCAACTGCCACCATCTGACTGTGGTTTTTCCCCTTGCACATGTCCCAAAGGAAGCTGGCCAAGAAGCAGAAGGAGACCCAGAGTGGAGCCCAGAGGGAGATGGGGCCTGTGGCCTCTGCTGACAAACCCACCACCAAGCTCAGCACCAGCCGCAATGATGAAGGCTTCTCTTCTAGTTCTCAGGACGTCAACGGATTCAGTAAGTAGAGCCAATAAAGGGGAAGGGGACATCCGTGGTCTAGCTCGGCCCTAGTACTTCTGCTGTGAACCCCACACATTGATCAGGTGCTGCCAGGCATAGGGTATGGATGCTTCCCTGAGATGGACTGGGATGAAGGTTCTCCCTGACAAAGACTTGGGGCAGTTCATCCTAAGGTGAAAAGGAATATTTAAAAAATCAGATGGAAATGGGAGCAAGTCATCCTAACTGCTTGTGGACATAAATAGAGACAGGTTAAAAATAATAGCAGTAAAAAAGAAAGAGGAGGAGGATGGTTATGTCCTTAAGGAGAAAATATGCCACACTGAATGGAGTGGCTTAAGATTTTCAAATCTGTGTTTCACATACACCACATAAGGTAGGTGAGTCATAGATTATGACTGTCTCCACTCTGAGTGCTTAGGAAACTGAGGCTCAGAGAAGCAACTTATCCAAAATACAATGGCTGATGAGTTACATATTTAGACTGGAAGCCACATCCCTCAAACGTTTGCCAGTTCCAAGCCACAGCCAATGTTCCAAGTGGCATTGGTCAAGGGCACCTGAGTCCTTGTACAGAGTTAATAAAGGATCCCAAGATTTGAGTGGTTAAGATATCAGGGTTAACCCTTATCCTAAGGAGAACTCCAAGACTGCCAATATCTAAGGCTTCCTTGCGGACAGACTGGCTTCTGTTCTTATAGCCATGATATCAGCCAGTTAATAGACTAGATTTCCCAGCCTCTTCCCAAATTGGGTAATGCAAGAAGTCTAAAAGAATCTGTACATACACGGATGTCCTCCACATACCATGTAAGCTACAAATGGAAGAAATTCCATTTTGTAAAAATCACTCAAGATATGATCAGTTGGGGATGATGGGGGTCTATGAGAGGATAAAGAAAGAAAGAAAAAAATTACCCCCTTCTATAATGTAGACACTGTCTCTCATCCTCACCATAGTCCTGTAAGATCTTTAGTATTATTGCTCCCATTTTATAGGTAAGGTATGCAATGCTTAGTGTGTTTGGCCAGCCATCCCAGAGCCACACAGCTTGTTTTTAATGGATCCAGATCTGAGAGTAACTCAGGCCCATGATTTCTAAGCTCCAGTGCAGCACAGAACCCACCTGGGGAAGTTTTCAACACATCCATATCTGGGCCCCACACCTGATCTCCTGAATCAAAATCTCCTGGGGGATGAGAGGTGGGACCCAACTGAGGGATATGGATTTTGTAAGTCGTTTAGAGAGTTCTCATAGGTGCCCAGATTTAGAATACAGCACTTGGACAGAGGCAATAGCTATGCTCAGATACTGATGTGCTCTTCGGGAAGAGAGATTAGTTTAAATCTACAAAAATGTTGAGAAGATTGCAGGATGAATAGTCATATACCCTTTACCTAGATTTACCAGTTGCTACCATTTTGCAACATTTGCATGCACTTTTGCACTTGGCTGTACTCACCCTCTCTCTCTTTCTCCCCTTATCCATGTTTTGTTTTTTTTTTTCCCAAATATTTTGGAACCATTTAGAAGTAAGTTGCAGACATCATGACACTCTACCTCCAGAGAATTCAGCATGTGTTTCCTAAGAACTAGGACACCTCTTCAACATAACCACAATAAAGTATAATCTTACTTCAGTGATCTAATATACCAGTCCACAGTCAAATTGCCTCAATGTCCTCCAAATGTTCTCTATTGCTTGTTTGTTTGTTATTTTAATCCAGGATCCAATCAGAGTGCTCACATTGTATTTGGTTTTCAAGTGTCTCTCTTTGATCTAGAACAGCCCTCTCAACTTTATTTTTTCTTTCAGGATACTGACTTTTTTTTTTTTTTTTTTTTTAAGACAGAGTCTCGCTCTGTTGCCCAGGCTGGAGTACAGTGGTGCAATCTCCGCTCACTGCAAGTTCCGCCTCCTGGGTTCACACCATTCTCCTGCCTCAGCCTCCCAAGTAGCTGGGCCTACAGGCGCCTGCCACCACGCCCTGCTAATTTTTTGTATTTTTTTAGTCGAGACAGGGTTTCACCGTGTTTACCAGGATGGTCTCAATCTCCTGACCTCGTGATCTGCCCGCCTTGGCCTCCCAAAGTGTTGGGATTACAGGCGTGAGCCACCGTGCCAGGCCTTGACATTTTTTTAAAGTCTAGGGCTGTGGTCCTTCAGAGTGTTCCACAATCCAGATTTGTCTCCTTTTTTTCATCATGATTACATTCAGGTTAAACATTTTGGCAAAAATGTAACATAGCTGATATGACGTACTTCCCTTTGCATCATATTAATAGACACATCATACCACTTTGCACATTACCCGTGATGGTAAGTTTGAGTTCTTCTTAAGGTTAGAGAATGGCTTTTAAAGACAAAATCTAATGGTACATACTGATTATGAGCAAATATTTAACTTCTGTTTTTCTTAGGGATCAGAGCAAATTTGCAGTTTACCTAACCATGAAGCCAGTCTTTTTTTTTCCATTTTCAATCCAGATAAATCACTGAGACTCATACATTTCCTAGAAGCAGGGAAATTGGTTGTTGACACAGACCAGGGTTGACAAGAAAATGGGCTTGATTTTTCCTTAAAGGAATATCCTAGCTATAATTTTGCATCTTTAAACCAACCTCTGTTGCAAACTTACAAGTAGCAAGGAGGAATAAGTTCTAATGTTCTATTGTACTATAGGGTGACTATAATTAACAACAGTTTATTGCATATTTTCAAATAGCTAAAACAGTGGATTTTGAATGTTTCTAACACAAAGGAATGATAAATTTTGAGGTGATTAATATATTAATTATCCTGATTATTATACATTATATACATGTATCACACTATAACCCATAAATATATATAATTAATTACTGTCAATTAATAATAATAGAAAAAATGAGAAAGGCTTATCAGAAGCTCACTGAGTCTCTGGGTGTGCTAAGGTGTCACTGCATCCGCTGTTTTTGGCCCTGGGGCACAGAAGTTCATTTGCAAGTTTATCTGATTGAAAATACTGGCCAAGTAATACCAATTCATCCTTTTCTGTCCAGTCCAGCCTCTTGTGCTCACTTTTTTTTCCGTTTGTAAAAGTACCCTGGGAGGACTCTGAAAAGCAAAATGATTATGGCCAAAAATTCGTGACAATCATTGTGACCCTGAAATTTTAGATATTGGTTCTCAATCTTTCTGATCTCAAATGCAAGCCTGAGTAACACTGATTTCTTGTGTTTGAAAGGAGAACATTGTCAGTGTTCGCTATGGGCCAAAACTTAGACCCTTAAGATGAAAACACCCAAGACTGAAATAGTTTAACTTGCCATAAAGGAAGAGGAGAAATATCCAACAAAATCTAATTAGATGTTTTAAAGGCCAGGGACAAACTTTCCAAATGATTGAGGTATGTATGTATGTGCATGCAGATGTGTTTTATATTTACACAGACATGTAAATACATACAGAGATTTATAAACCTACACAGTCATATATACACAAATATGCATATATAACTGCATATATGCATTCATTATAACAATATTACTTTCTAAAAGATTTAAATAATGATTGACTTATTATACTCAATTATTAGAAAATTTTGCATTTGTCTGAATCACTGAATACATTAGGACTCTCTATGCATCTGACGTCCTCAGGCTACAGCTGCAAAAACACTCTCAGGATCTTTTGACTGCCCTAGAATGCATCAGGTACCTTTTAAAATGCCCTGTGGAACCACTGGGATGAGATTTGAGGGGGGGAAATGTAAGTAATGCTTACACCGGAGATGAGAAATTGCTTTTGAAATCACCCTGATGTATGTAGAATTGAATCTATTTTTGTGACATTAGGGAAGTGACTGCCTGGCTTCTGAATTGGTGTCTTTAGGAGGCCCTGAGATTACGTGCAAATGTTGAGGGAGCATTGAGAGAGGTGGGGCACAGAATAGTTGTTACATTGCAAAAGATTACAGAAGAATGTGTCTTGAGCAATTATTTCATTATTGACCAGGTGGGCCCTTGCCTAATTCAAATTCTACCTCTCCCTGCACAGGTTTATTTTCTGGGGTTTTCTATTTCAAGTGACTGCTACATTCTGTGACATCTATTCAATCAAACCTCCTACTGTTGTATAGGAACAATGACCTCCAGGGCTCTAGGGTGATGGGGCTTTGTTAGATATGGCTGTTGCTTTGGAGTGCCTTGGCATTCTTGAAAAAAGGAGTACGTGTCACATTTCAAGGACAACCAATGTGCATTGTTTTCCATTTAAAGAAATGCTAGCTTTTATTAAGTAATCTGATTTTGATCTTACTGCCCTGTGTACTTGTTATTTTTCTCTGTGATCTTTTGCTCACTGGGATCATTTTCCGGGTCTTTCTTCTAACGCTTAAATCTTCTTCTTTATCTCTTTTTTTCACATGTTGTCTTCTTGTTCATTTTCAGTCCAAACAAAAATGCTTCAAAACAAATCCTTGTTGAATTCTTGTGATATGGGGACTTGGTTGTCTACTCTTCCCATAATGGCATTTGACAGATTCACTTGCCTACTGGGTACCAGGAGTTAACTCTGTCCTTATTTTTATGCTTCCCCTCTATTGAATTATTCCATGTCTGGAAGGTAAAGGCAATCCTTCTCTAAGGGTCATGAGACAGACACTGGGCCATCTAGCTCTCTGCTAAGTGTGACCTTGGAGGTGAGATTTAATGGCCTTTTTCTCAGTACATGCCTAACCCTGTGCTGTAAGTCATGGGGCATAGTCTGGGGAGAGAGGTAGTGTCAAAGATGAATAAAATGCGGTATTGTATCACAAACAATACATGTATCTACTTGTAAGCCTTTCATAGTTTACAGAGTCCTTCTGCAAAACACTCCAGCAATAGTTCCTTATTCCTGTAGGAATAAGATAGCTAGTAGGTTTTTAATTACTCCCATTCTACAGATGAGGAAACTGAGGTTCAGAGAGCTTTCATGGCCCAAATCATACGTATATTGCAGAGTTGTAATG